GCAAGGCACCAGGGCAGAGGCAGGCAGGAAGGACTTCCTTTCCTCTTCTGAGTCTGGGTCCCTGAGAAAGTCCTGGGTCAGTTTGTCTAGAAATTCTAGAACTTGGGACAAGAATCTTCCCTCAACCAGTCACCCTCCCCGGGAGACGACGCTGGTCCCTTAGAACCTGGAAATCTGCGCCCTGAAGCCCTGTGACCCCCCCTCCCCCCATCGCCTCCTCCCTCCGTCCTCTGAAGTCAAGAACTGGATTCCACACGTCGGGGAGGGGGTGGGGGGTGTCCTAGCTGCACCCCCCAACACGTGGCCTGGCAGATCCGGGAGGAGGCCCGGTGCGGGGCCGGGAGGAGGGAGCGGCGGCCACCCGCGCCTCCCCTACCTGCCAGGTGGGGTCGGCGTGGCGGAAGTAGCAGAAGTTGTCGGTGATCCACTTGTAGATGGCCGACAGCGTGATCTTGGTGGCCTTGCTGGCCTGCATGGCCATGCAGATGAGCGTGGCGTACGAGTAGGGCGGCTTCACGTGCGGGTTGGTGGCGTAGTCCACGTCGTCGGGGGGCGGGGCCTGCAGGCCCGGGGGCGCGCTCCGCGACGTGCAGGACGACGTGGGCTTGCCCGGCGTGTGCGGCTGCCCGAGGCAGGCGGGGTCGGCCGCCAGGGGGGACCCGGGCGCCACCGAGCCGGGCACCTGGCGGTAGCCGTGGGGGTCCGTGAGCCCCGGGGGCAGCGTGGGCGCCTTGGCGTTGAGGATGGAGAACTCCTGCAGCCACTGCAGGCTGGTGAGGCTGTCGTCCAGGGCGTCCGGCTCCTCCAGGCCGCCCTCAGGCCCGGCCTCCTCCGCCGCCGGCCCCGCTCCCGAGAGGCGCAGCCAGCTCTCCGCCATGTCTGCGGGAACTCTCCGAGGGGGCGGTCAACAGGCACGGGCCGAGCCCGGCTGGCCCGCCGCGCTCTCCGGCCCGCCGCTTCCCGAGGCTCCAGCTACGCGGCCTCCGGGATTCGCGCTTCCATCCCGCGACCCGGGGGTCGCCTCCTCCAAACACCAATGCGAGGCCTGCGGGAGCAGAGCGGGGGGGGGGCTGAGCGCTCTCCCGCCCCCCCGGGGAGGGCAGAGGGGGGCGGAGGGGGGCTGCGCGTTCACCCCGCCGGGGAGGGCTCTGCAGCGCCCGGGCCTGACCCCCGCCGCTCCCGCCCCATCGCTCCCATTGCCCTTCGACGGTTCTTTCGCCACACAGGGAAGCGGGGGAGAGGAGGGCAGCGGAGTCCAAGCGCGGGAAATCGGGACGACCCCCAGCAAGCAGGAGGAAAATAAAAGTGGGGGGACAGGGGGGCAGAACCACGGCTGGGGCGAGGGAGGCGATCCGGACCCGGAAAGGAGGCTCTAGGATCAGGGATCCCGGGACGAGAGGGGAAATGAGTTACGGAGGAGGGGGCAGGAGCGGGGTCCCCGAAACCCCTCAAATGTCAGTCCCCAGTCCCACCGTTTCCGTCGGGGATCGGTGGGCAGAGCAGGCTGGTAGCGACGCCCTGGCTTCCCGTGACCCACAGCCCTCCCGGTCCCTTACCTGGCTCAGAGCGCAGTCCGGGCCAGAGGAAGGTTCTGGAAGAAGTTCCTCCCACACCCCCGCGGCTCTGTGCCCCCAGCTCGAGGGCCCCGCCAGCGCCTCTCGATGCCCCCCCCCTCGCCCGACGGCGCTTCTCCGAGTGCCCGCGGCCTGGGGACCGGCATTAAGTAGCCGTTCCGAAGGCTTCTCCCGCTGCCATGGCGACGCCCCGCCCCCGTAAACAGCTTCCGCTGCTGCTATTGGCCAGCGCGTCGCCAAGGAGACCCCGGGCTCGCGCTCCTCTCGGCGGCGGCGACTCTGTCGGAACTCCCTCCCCGTGCCGCCCTCTCCCGCGCCACCCAGCCCCCTACCCGCCGGCGGGTCGGGGTGCGTTCCCGCCGGAGGGCCCCGCGCTGGGTC